AGCGCAATCTTCCGTGTCGTATACTCCGTCGTAGCGATGGGGAGTATGAATCTGTCATAGTCATCCGCATCTTCTGGACAGTTCGCGCGAGCAGATCTCTGTTTTCAACAACAATATGCTCGCACGCGCGCCCGTTTATCACGAGCGGAATATTTTTACGGTGGCTTTTTGCTGCCAAACATGCGAATGGAAAGTCCGAGTCATTAAAGTCTTTGTTTACCGGAAGAACTGACGTCTCGGAATGAGCGATAGCGACGATATTTCAAGTTACGGTATCCGCCCGGTAGTCGTCGTCGTGCTGACTCTCGGCGAAAAGACTCGAGATCGTCGAGAAGTTGCGGATGCCGGGACAGACGAATGGGAAGTAACGGGGAGCCAATCGTGCGGCTATAATAGCCACGCAAAACTAGTCGGAGAAGTATTGGCGTGGGGCATCGGATGCCCGATCGACCGGGACTTTAAGTTTGCGTCTGCATAGTCAAGGGAAAATACGTTAAAAAAAAGAAAAAGAAAAGACAGAATCGGAAATCATCTCGGAAGTATCTCCAATTATTTGCGATTAATCAATGATCACGTTTCAACGATGTATAATTTATAATTGATGAAATAACGGAGGTCACATGAATAAAAATAAATTATACGCTCGGAAAACAAGAGAAAAAACATTTGTTCCGAAAAGTATAAAATAAAAAGCACATTTCGCACGAATAATCCTTTATTTTCATATTACCTTTTAGTTTTATTGATTTGTTCGTAAACGAATTTGTCATCGTTTTCATTGTAGCTATCGATAATCTAGCCGTATGAATGCACACAGAATTGAAATATACAATTTATGGTTGATTTATGACTTTTGTATAATATACATTACAAGATAAAAAAGTACGTAAACAGAATCACATAACTGGACATAACTGGATATATTTTATCACGCTAATGTGTTATTTGCACAGATAGAATAAATAATATAATAAATATATATTTGTGCATCAATTTTTATAGCATTTGCTATAAATTAGCATAGTAGGATGACTAAATTTACAATATATTGGAGCAGTCATATGACTGCTCCAATATATTGTAAATTTAGTAGTATTCAATCTGACAGTTTCTAAGCTGAAAATTTTATTTAATATACTATTTAAGATGTTTATTTTGAAAACGCAGACATTTCTGTTATTATAAATTTTTATCGATGAAAGGTTCGACTGAGACGATGATTTCGATAACCGTTCTCAGTCTCAGCCTCTTACTCTCAAACTTGCAGCATCGGCGTCAGCCCATCGCGGCGGCGAGAGTGGGGAAGTTTACGTCGTAAACTTCGGGTCTTAAGGGTGGAATTATAGTTCGGCGAAGCGAGCGCTGCGCTACGCAGTTGTTACCACGACGAGCGCTTTAAAAGTTGGTCCCGGCTCTTCGTGTCGGTACGAGGGGAGCAGGGAAGTGGATTCCGGGGGAATGGGGAGCGCGGGACGATGTGAAAGGAGCGAGAAGGGGGTGGAGACGCGGTTAAGTTGCCAGGAAACTTTGGTAAAACTGAAAAGTTAATTTCGTCGTGTTAAATTACTCGAGCGCCCGGGCATTAAACTTGCAAAAGTTGGTCGGATGACTGAAATACGTATCCTCCCTCTTCTCTTCTTCTTCTCCTTATCCCTCTTCTTTTCCTCGTTGCTTTTGCTTTTGCTAACTGTTCTAAGACGCGAAAGGATAGTGATTTGATTGCTTGCTCTGGATTGAAACATTGCACAAGGAGAAAGGAAACACTATACAATAAAATACAATCATTTAATACTAAATTCAAATTTGTTAATTTACGACCGAAATATGTACTCGATATATTTCTAGTATATTTTAATATATTCGAAATATATTCTAGAATAAATTTGTTTTTCTTTATATCAGCCTTTGAATGGCCATAATATTGTATAATTGCATAATTAATTAATATTCTATTATTGTCTGTACGTCAGTTATATAAATATTAGTGCTCCATTAAATACATTTATTTTATATACTATAAAGTTGTGTTGAATTACTCTATGTAATTTTACCGTGATACTCTAGGTTATTAAACATACATGATATTATGTAACTCTTTTGAAAAATCAATAGTATTTAAATTATAAACGCGATATAAAAAAATAATTTTGTAGGAATAAAATTTAATTTGGATACATTTTAAGTAATAATAACATTCTAATTTAAGACAATCAAATTTTAATTAAAAATAATAAAATTTTAATTTTAAGTAAATTGCACTGTTTAAGATGTTCTTAATTTGTAGTTAAGTTCTTAATTTGTAGATAAGTTGAAATGATGTTGAAAATTTGCAAATAATAACTTTTTATGTTTGTGCTAAGCAAGAACCAAATTCAAGTTGGTCGATAAGTTTACAGAAAAGTTTGTCTGTTAGCTTGAAAACATCTTTTATATCTATCTTTTATAAAACCTTTATTTAATATAAAAGTTTCGTGTTTAAATACTTATTAAAATAGACTGTTATACAAAGTGGCATGTATTGTAAAATCTGCCACTTTGTAAGCGAATCCATTGCAGATGTGATCGATCACACTTTATTTAATTCTCGGGTCGCGTTCCAATTCGGTTGAATTTCACAAGAGTACGATCGTAACAGGCTATGCACGTTTATGGCAAATCGATTGAGAAGAAATAGGAAGTAGCGGAAAGAGTTGAGATATCGCTTTGCAAAAATCTACTTATTCGTATAATTTATTGCAGATACAGTGAATTTTTTATTCAAAGATCGTAGATAATTTATGAATTTATCAATACCTGAATTGGAATGTAGGACCATGCAACGCTAATGTAATCAGATATGCGAGTCTTCTAAAATCACCAAAATGTGTTTTAGCATGATAAGACCGTAAGAGATGGAACTAAAAAACGCCGATTACAAATCATAATTACACAATAAAGCCTTGATTTTTAAATAATTGTGATTTATTTTTGACAAGTTTCTTATTAGAGATCTAATTGCTAATATATCTATATAATATTAAAAATTATAAAAAGTAAAGATTTACATCGTAAGATTAACATAAAAAACTCGTAAAGAACATAAAGCAATTTATTAGATATGCATGCAAGATATCCTGATATAACACTGACTTGGATATATGATAAATTTTTTAGAAATTTTTTATTTATTATAAACATTGCCGGTTTCATCAAGGCCGACTAATTAGAGTTATATGCATGCATTATGGCTGAATGCGTTTAATCGATCGGTATGAGCGGTCGTTGCGACTCGGTGATCAAAGCCGGTAATATTTGCAGCGTATCTACTGTGCATTGCGTCAAAATTAATCTCAACATATTCATTGCATTCATTCCATAACTGTGATATCCTATTATATATTCTTACCTATTAAAAGAATGATTGAAATAGAAATCATGTAGGCACACACACACACATCGCCCGAAATATTTCCGCAGTCATAAATTATGTTACATCGATAGTAAGTGAATCGATTATACATATACTCAAGATGCGATGTATTCGTTGTCCTGAGGAGTCGATTTTATATAACTGGAGATTACATGCGCGTAAAGATATATAAATGGGTGCGGTTTTTTGTAAGAAGTTGCGTCTAAAGGACGAGGAACAATCTAATTAAAAGTTGTAGACTTTGCGCTGTTACCACATGTGTGACGAACGATTTTGATATAGCCTTAGTTAAAAAGACATCCTCGCTTTTTTCGCTGACGATTTGGTCGGTAAGGTCACGGTCGTAATCCTCGTCGACACGTACACGTGTTTGCATCTTGCAGCCAGCGAAGCGTCGTACGTATATTCATACGTGTGCATGTGTGCGCGCACGCGATGCGGCGCGTGCGTAAACCCGCGAGGGAGAACAAACTTTCGCGACGGCTAGGGGTGAGCTAACACATCCCCGCATACGCGAGGTCGGCGCGGAGATGTGTTCCGCGCGTGGATTCCACGGAACTTATGCGAGTCGGTTCTGAAAAGATTCTTTTTCACGAATCTCTATCAAATATTGTACTTTCGAGAATTAAAAATGTAAATTTCAACAAAATTTACTTAGACCCATCATATCTGAAAAGAATATTAAAAATATTAAAAATTCAAGGAATAAGAAATTATAGAAACGTAGCTTGAAATAAGTGGGAATATTTATGTGATTTAATTGTGTAGCTATATTGATAATTTATTGATATTTGTGTAGGTGATTTCGATCACATCTATATTCTCATATAATAATGATAAACATTATAAGTCTCTTCACCGGTATATTTTCACATTCTGTAGAACGGTCGACAATTTCGTAGCTTATCTAACAACCACGAAAGTCCGGACATCCGATATTTGGATAATCTGAGTTTGGATGTAGTGGAAATCACGGCCGCGATTGTGTAGTGGTGCAGAGAGCATGCGCGCCCCGGAGCTCTGTCTCCCTTTCGAGTCGGTCGCCCGTCCTTGTCTCGGAAAACTTTCCGGTGATGAGCTTTGTTGGTCGTTTCCCCAGCAGGACGGAAAAGTTAAATGCGAAAGTTTTATCCGATATCCAGTGCCTCTGCGCGCCCGGAAAAAGGTATCTACGCACATGGCTATCGTTCGGCTTGGCCGTGCGATTACACAGTAGCGTATTTGTTTTATAATATTCGCAATACTTATATAAATAAAATTCGTACAGTGATATAGTTCGCGATGCAAGATATTAATATAATATAATTTTGATTTAAAACAGTGCATTTTTTCTAAATATTTCTCTTTGACGGAACAAAGAGTAATAACGTGGATTCACTGGATTCCGGATTGTAAAAAAAGGGCAATAAATCCCAAGTTATAAGTTTCGCGGAAATAATTGCAGATGATAATGCTAGATTTTTGTTTAATTATTCGGCACATGAAAAATGTTTTACGTGAAATTCGAGGAAACCCAGATTCACCTTTTGTACTAGCGACTGAATAACCGGATTGGTGCGAGTAAGTGAAGTGCGAATTTATCTGTTAACAGAATGGCGTCGAGGAAAACAAGACAGAATCACTCGATACAGCATCTGCTCGAGTTACCCTCGAACCGGGAGTCGAAATTATTGCGGTTTCCCGTGAAGGAGCACACCCAACTGCCGCCGTCCATGCCAACCCCTCGCCAAGTTCCGGTGACCGTGTTGCATCCCTCTCCGAAAAAGGTAAGTGGAACACGAATAATCTGCGGATAATCCGCGGCAATCGCAGGAGCATGCAATCTCTTTGAAATTTGCACGTATAATTCGTGAACATAGACAGGCGACATTGTCACGTCTGAGACGACATCGACGATGTTCTAAAACCGTACAAATGATCGAACTTAATAATAGAACGTCGAAGAAAAAGATCGCCCTACTTTTTAAGAGCGACATGATTATTACTCCGCGCGGAGAATAATCGTTGAGGCATTAGCTCGTCGAGCATATCGAGTTAAATTAAAGAATATTAAGTGATCCTCTCCAAAGAATTTCTTCGTGCGATGCTGTGAGATATCTTTTACGCGTCATCGCAAGAGCCGATCCATTTTTTATTATCTCTCGTAATTTTTCATATTGCGAGATTATTTATATGCATAAGGTAGAAAATGTCTGTTAATATTATAACAGTAATAGTATTTAAGGAATTTTAACAAAATTAGAATTATAGAAAAAGGAATGAATTTTATCGCGATTATTCAGTCATTTTGAATTATTATTGAATTATTCGCGCATAGAAGAATACTAATATTATATTTATAATCTTATCCTTGGATTTCTCTATTTTGCACCTGACTATTAGAAAGTTGCGAAACGAGGCCGCAACGTAAAAAGATGAGATCTGCGAGGAACGTAAAACGAAACGATTGTAACGGCATAAACCGCTGACGTTTCACATTGTCACGGTAGCTTTTTTTATCGATCATTTCGTACGTGGTGGGACATTGTTATTACTCGTATAAATGTCGACGCAAGCTTGAATCCGTGACGCACAGCGGAAGAGATAATTTTCAGCTTTATCATTGCCATATTGGGGATCTTGTATCTTTGTTAAAAGTGCTTTTAATCTTATATGATAAATTGAGCCGAAATTAAATCCGTTATAGAGAAAAATAAATAAACAAAATTCTTGCATCTATATAATATCTTTACATTATCTATTTTAAAATAAATTCTTTTTAACTGAATTTTTTTTAAACCGTAATTTAATTTAATAAAACGCTATTTATTATACACTGGTTATAAAATTTATGTATTATTTTGCAAGAAAGAAAAATAGGATAAATTATTTAAAGAAAATTAGAAAATTTATTTATTAATATCAAAATATAACTAAACATTAAAAAAAGATGTTCAATATTATTATTACATTCTGAGTTGTAGTTCATTATATAAATATATATAAATGATAATTTTATTATCTTCACTCACAATCATAATTGTAACAAATAGCTATATTTATATTTAATATATTTATATTTAAATTTATATTTAATAATTTCTGTGCTAAAATTATGTGATTCAATATAATTATTACCAGAATTGAATTATCTTCGTACATCTACAAAATATCTGTAATTGAATATTCTCGTTAAATTTTGAATTTTGCACGTCAATATTAGAACATTATAATTATTATCTTACTATGGTTTATACTAGCTAAGGTCGATGAGTTATATTACATATAAATCTTTAGATTTATACATATCACAACTTTTATATCTGCTATTAATACTAATAATTATGTATCTGCATTATTTGTGTTAGACAGCTATCTGATTTTTCAGAATAGAGATAGAATGTAAATATCATTATCTCATGATTACCGACTTCACTTGCTATATTATTATCGGCCGATAAACGAGATATTCTTAGTTATTCTATGCTGACTAAGCTGAGAACATTTCTCGACTACGTTTCAATCGATAAGCCGAAGGCTGTTGCCGACGAAGTAGAGCTCTTCTTTAGCGTCATGGGATCGGTACAATTATGAAAAATGTTAAACATTTATTTTATTTGCAAAAACAAAAATGATTTTGAGAATTTCTTTAAATTTTATATAGTTTACTACATTTAAATTACAAACAAAAATAAATTGTATTTTAAATTATTATTGATTAAATTTGATATTATAAGGGTTCATAAATACGTAATTTGTTCATAAATAAGTAATAATGTTTATTTTTTACAATATATATTTGAATTATTATATATAATGGAACGCATATAAATGACACTGATGCGCAGAACATTGAACATAATTGCGAGAGGTCTTCCGCGAAAATAGGGATGGGTGCTTTACGGGCGTATAATTTGCTATTGAAATCCTGTGAATGGAGGTACGGCAGAAGCGTCTTGAGCATACGCAAGGTGTTGGGCGGGAACTGAATTTATGATAATTGCATAAATCAGAGCTTTCCTCCACAATAATCATAATCTATTGGGATAGTTGCGCGAAGTTAGCTATTTAGCCGTCGGCAAGGATCAGGGGGAGGAGATCGAGGGGTTGCTCTGCCCGGTTCTGAATAAGATAAAGCCGTAGCTAAGATTGAACCAAGGAGGGAAACCATTCTTGCCACAAATCATTGTAGATGCCATGCATTGCTTGGATAAAAATAAGTAATTTTCATAGTGTGTGTAGAACTATTTAAAGTATAATTATAAAAACATTTGGAATAATTGTTCTATATTAAAATTTAAGGCAACTGTCATGAAAATATGTATAGTAGTAGAGACAGTTCTCTCTAGATAGGAGAGAGAAAACAAACATAAATAGATTTTTGAAGATCAATAAGAAGTCATAGAAGCGACGAAGTTAACGGGTAGTGGAACAGAGGGTGCCACCAGCAATTTTCTGGAGTTTGGGGATGGTTTCTTGTTTGAGCTTTAACTCTAGTTTCTTGCAATAGACAGTAGTAAACAATATAAAATATTCTTAATGTTGATAATATTGTAGCATAATTTTCTATTATTACAAATAAATTGGATATTAAATTGTTCTCTAAAATATAGAGTAAAGTTTATAGATAATTGCAGCCTTTTGGAATTAATGCAGTACAATCTAATCATATAACGTTTGTTTACTCTGCTCAAAAGAACAGTTTTAAATGAAAAATGTGCAAAACTTAAAATATTTAGACCGGTATTCATAGTCAGATCTTATTTCAAAATCGTCTTAAGTAATATTTTAAGATGCTAATATGGCTCTGTGATTGGTTCATAACATCTTAAGATCGTACTTAAGACGATCTTAAATATAAGATTTGACTATGAATACCGGCCTTAATTTCAAACAATTGTCTTCATACTTAATTGGACTGGTATATTGTGTGGAATATTGTGCCTTTCCTTGTCAAAAAATAAATCTTTCTTTATTGCAGAAATACATTTCAAATAATCGTATCTAACGTGACTCGCGTTACCGTCGAAAGTTCGCTCATCCACGTCTTATAATATTATTATATGATACAGGAAGCGATTAGGGGCCGTATATTGTTTAAGGCTTTCATAGGAACGAGTGACACCTCGAAGTTACCGAAATTGACCCTAATGCATCCTAATGCTTTTAGTGGCCGGTGACGTTAAAACGCCATCAGCCTGGCTTCCCGACTATGGGAAATCGACGGCTGACTGCTGTCATTTCGGAATTACTAGTGATTTCTTTATTAACGGTACGAGTCTTTGCACCGGCGCGCCGCTGGAATATTAATGTTGAAATCTCCGCCGTCTCAACTTTCATGATCGTTACGGTTACGATTACGATTACGAGCAGCCGTTTCTCTTAAAGGCGAACCCTTATCCTGCTCTATATAATATTCTTTCGACGTACATAGATAATCCCTTATATCCTCGATACGATAATGATTCGCGTTGCAATTAAGAAAGCAATTATATTTAAATAGAAATTAATGAATGATGAATGAATTTAATGATATAGAGATTTTTGAAAGCAACTTAAATTATAACTTAAATTATCATGATGGAAAAAATACAGTTAAAAAATTGATTTACTGTAACTTTATAACAAAGTAAACAAATATCTGTTTGGGCACGCGCTAATCTCAGGGTAGGTCGGAAAACGCGGCGTTAAAACACCGGAAAGCCAGCCCCAAATCCGCTTAAGGACGCGTATTTATTACTTACGGACGTCTGCTTCGCCTCGACCGTTGACTCGCCTCTTCCACGCACACGGTGTCACGGTAAAACAATATTCGGATTTATTTTTTATGGATCGTAAGTCGATTGGTACCGTATCTCATTTTTATTGCCGAACAATCTATTTGAATTGGGTGAAAAGATTAATAATAATTGAAATAATCTCACATGTGTATTTCAAATTATGCCAAATTTTTCGATATATATCTTTGGATACTTATGTATTCCATCACCGACTGTCAATCGATCCTGCTCTTTGGAAATGTTCTTCCTTGTATTTTGCAAGATACCGTTAGCGACTCTCTCGAGGGAACCTGAAAAGATGAAGCACAGTACCCTTTAACTTTGTCGAGCTGTCACGTTGATCGGGGTTGGAACGAACCCTCCAATTCACTCGGTGGGAGTAGCCACGCGGTTGAGTGAATTTTTATGAATGAATGCGCGAGGATACGCAGATCCAAGGCTTTGGAATGTGCACCCTGTTTTCACCCCTGTATCTATATTTACGACAGTGACTCTCAGTTGAAAATTTTATCAGGCGTTCGTAACGAGGCGGTCGGGCGAGGCAATTTTTTAAATTAGCCGCGCTACTTTAAGGGACGAAATTCCGCGTTAAAAATAGAAGCTTCCGGAATATTATTTTGATCACTGATACTCCCTAGTGACACGTTTTTTTTTATCGCTTTCCAGGATATAGTAACCTAAAAAGATTTGTTTAGCAGAATTTGATCCGAGAGTCTTTCTAAATTACATTTTACAAGTATATATATTTGAAACGATTTAAAAAATATTTTTTATTACGCGTATTTCTGATATTTCCTGTTATGTAAAAATAATAACTGTGCATCGACACTGGTGTACTCTTTAGTTACAAAGCGACTCTCTTATTTGCTGGAGGGTCTGAGGTTGAAGGTGTTAGCGGCAGTACAAAAGAAGACTTCACCCTTCATGCCTAGAGGGGAGTTTATAAAAATCGTGTCAATTAGGCTTCTCTCGAGAAAAGAAGACAAACCGGGATACAGTGCTCGACG